AAAAAAAAAAGATGAAATATTGCCATTTGCCACAACATGGATGGAATTAGGAAGGATGATGCTAAAGAAAATAAGTTTGAAGGAGAAACACCAGATGATTTCACTCATATGTGGAGGATAGAAAACCAAAGAAAAGCAAAGGAATGGACAAAAGTGACCCCAAACGAGCCCTAGAGATGTGACTGTAGAATTGAGGCTACCAGAGGGGGAAGTTGGGGTGAAGAGTATAGTGCTAGGAATCCCAATGGCCTACAAGGACCTTGGTGATGGATGTGATGCAGTGATACAGTGATAGACATAGGAAGAGGCGCAAATCTGTGCCCCTAGGTTATAGTGTTGTGAACCAACATTACATTACCTCATTTTTTTAAAAGATTTATTTATTTGTGCATACAGAACTGGGATACATGCCAGAGCACAGGGGCGGTGAGAGGATTCACCAGAGAAAGAATGGGGAGCAGAACAGGCAGATGGATGAAGTACACTGCTGAGGGGAGCAGCGGGCAGGTCAGGAGAGGTCTGCCGCGCCATGTGGCTTCACCAGAGACAGAGTGGGGAGTAGAACAGGCAGATCAACGAAGTACACGGCTGAGGGGAGCAGCAGGCGGGCCAGGAGAGGTCTGCCACACCATGTGGTCACCTCCGGGGCAGGTCTGAATCGAACTCATGCGGAAGCGGCTTTAGCTTCTCAGTGCTGTGCTTTAACCGCTGCGCCACCAGGGAGGGCCATGGTCCCCACTTCTTTACCCCCCCTCCCCATGCTTTCGGCATAGCCCACACGCCCCGTTGCTCTCCCGAAACCTGCTTTCTTCCTCAGTTTGCGGTGTGTGCTCCGTCTGTGAAGAGTCTGGCTGATTTTGAGGCACGGGGGTCTGCCAGATGATTAATTGTGCTCTTGCCTCATCTTTCCTGCTCAGCTAACACCTCAGGAGCCCAGGGACTGTATCTTTCTCACCTTTCCACAACTGTCAGGACCCTGGGCGGCTCAGGCTGTGCTGAGTGACTGACGAAGGGCCCCTCTGTAGTTGCGGTGCGTCCCTTTCGTGCGGACACTTGGTGATGTGCACAAGCTGAAGTCTGAAGGCCAGGTCTAAGGTCTCGGAATGGAGACGCAGGTCTCCCCTTTCCTCATGGCACGTGCTCAGTGAGCACTTGTCTTGTTCAGCAGTAGGCATGTAAATGCCAGTGAGCCAAAGGCCTGACCTTAACTGCGCCCTTATTATAGTGACCCAACAGGGCATGGGTGAGGGCCAGACTTTGCTGAGGAGAGCAGTGGTCATTGAGCCCTGGGGGGGTGCACACACGGCAGCCAGACCCACTGGGTTTGAGAAGAAAATTTTAGAATATATATATATATGTATATGTATGTATGTATGTATGTATAACATATATACACACACACACAATTATATGTAATTTTTTTAAAATAGAGTGGTTCTACCTTGTAGTGTCCATAGACCCTTGACTTGATCTGTGTAGCACACGTTGGGGGGGGGTCACTTCTACTGTTTTGTTTTCACTCAATCTATTAAAAACTATCTTGAGCTGTTTACCATCACCTGTAAGTTTAGTATTATCTGGCTGTTCCTTGCAAATAGGACAAGGGGCCTAACATGAATAAAAGCTGTCACTACCAGTGCCAACCCAGTGACTGGCACTCTGGGGTGTCATCCTGGTTAGCCAGATGACAGTGTGACAATGGTGGTCAGACCCGATGGGACCAGGCTAGGGGCAAACGCATTTTGGAATAGTTAAGAAGACTGTATGAATTGTGGGTTTGCAGCTGCTGTGTCGGCTGTATGAACCTAATTCCATGTGGATTATGTGTCATGAAGAAATAATTTAGATGTTTGAAAAGATGTTTATTTCATTTTCTTTTGAAATGTCTATTTCAGTGTTTGTTAAAACACTCCTACTATGTCAGTTTATTAACATAGCTCTGTGTAGATTGAGTTGACTCTACAGATGTGGGTTATCTATGCGGAAACAGACTCTATTGCCAGACGAGCCTCCCACGGGTTAGAGCGAGTGTACGAGTGAGTGTGAGCACTTCCCGACGGGCAGCCTCCATCCCCATGCCACGCTGCTCTCACGCATGGCTGGCTGACCCCACAGCCATGTCAGGAATGTGTGTTATTAGTCACCATGGCAATGGCCCAGCTGGGAGGGGACGATGGGTTATTAAAAATTCATCAGTCTCGAGTTAGAAATGAACTCGGGTCGCACATCATTCTGAGATCAGGAAGTCCTTTGCTGACAGAAAAAGGCAACATTTCAAAGTGTAACAGGCTCTAAGAATATATGCTTTATGGACACTACCTGAGCATATGGGGCTTCTTCCTGGGCTTGAAAGGGAGCAGCAAAAAAGTCTGGAATTTACTCTTTGCCAAGCATTTTGTTGTTGACTTGACCCTCACTCTGTAAGGTGGGGATCACCCTCATTGTGTGACAGGAAAGATGAAGTCAGCGCCAGAGCGCCACACACAGGCTCACGTGTCTGGGAAGGACAGGACAAGGTGCAGAGCTCGATCACGTGTTTGCCGGGGCATGGCCGCTCATTGCCAGAGGCAAAGAATACATCTGCATTTTTATCCAGACATCTCATAAATTCGAAGGTATAACACTTTCTTGACATGAAAGTGGCCAACGGTGGACTCTAGGCCCTGAGAGGGGAAGCAAATTGTTCACACTGAGGCCTGGACCTGGGCTCTTCACTCCCTCTCTGCAGTAGGTGGTGAAAAGCCAGCCCAGTCTGGCCGCGCCTGTTGACATTGTGTCATCCTGTGTCCTTTCTGAAGTGACAGCTGTGCAGTTTTGTATGAGCAAGAGGTCCTTCCCTGGAGCTTTGCCAACCACGGTGTTTCCCAGGGCGCTCTGCTGAGCAGCAGCTATCAATCTGGACACAATAAACGGGCAACTTTCTCTCTGTTCACAGGACCATTGCCAACTACTTGGTGTGGAGGATGGTTTATTCCAGAATCCCAAACCTTAGCAGGCGCTTTCAATATAGGTGGCTGGAATTCTCGCGGGTAAGTTTTAAAGAGATTTCATGGTTACATCCGTGGGTAATGTTACATCCTGGAACATCTGGAGATGAACCGAGCCAATAAAAATCGCCTTCAGGAATTGGGCAGAGGCAGTTTTGCAGCTGAAACCCTATGATTTTTCTGTTTTCTTTTTATTGTGTGTAACCCTTACATAGTGTACCGTACACTCAAGCCCTGTTTTTAAATACTTTTTGTGGCGTTAACAGTGGTCTACGTTGTTGTTTCCACAGTAGACTGCGCACGACCCCCCTCAGGCGCTGCCGCCCCCAGCGGCCCGCGCGCGGCCCACACCATAGCCCCTTGTGCTACCTCCTTCCTGTTCTCGTCTGCCTTCCCCATTCCACAGTCAGCTGTCCAGGGTTAGTTTTTTTTAGTTTGGCTTTGGGTTTTTCTATATTTCACACGTAAGTGACACTGTGCAGTATCTGTCTTTCTCCTGTCAGGCCCGACTTTGAGGGGGCCTTACAGGTAATTAGGACGTTGCGTGGGAACACCCTGTGACTTTTCCTGTCCTCCTTTATCAGCTGAATAACTAAAATGTCTGTTCAATGAAATGAAAGCTAATAAAATTTGTCATTCACTGAAATTCAAAGTGAAGGAAAATTAACTTATTTTAGTCAAAATATCTTTCAGGGGGTCTTTCAGTGTTTTTCAGGGGGTCACCATAACTCTACTTTCAACAATTCTTAGTGATGTATTTGTAACTATCCTTCATTTTCAGTATTCTTAATGTTCAACATGTACACCATAGATTTGTTAGATGGTAAAGTTTCATCTTTAATTGAGGGATAGAATTTTGTCTTCAACTTACCCTTGATATTCAATCTGTGCAAGCGTCCTAATTCTTTAAGCGAAAGAGGCCCACATTTAGTCTCCTTCTGAGACTGCACTCAAGCTGCAACTCCTTTTTCCTCCCCCATCTCCTGTCACTGCCTTTTATTTCTCTCCCTGTCTTGTTCCCTTCTTGTGCTACTCTGGTCTTTGTTTCAGAAGCTTTTGTCTGAGTGATGCTCTGATCATTAAAGATCAGATGGGATTTTGTGGCTTTTTTTTTTTTACATGTTAAAGATATTTTGACTAAAATAAGTTAATTTTCCTTCACTTTGAATTTCAGTGAATGACAAATTTTATTAGCTTTCATTTCATTGAACAGACATTTTAGTTATTAGATAAACTGGTAAGCACAGAAATTCTTAATGGCCATTACTCTTGAGGAGAATAACACAATTATTTCCAGAGACCTTTTGGCCTTTTAAATTAGAATATTGAACTTTATAGAGAACGACATAAAGCAGCTATTATATTGAGGTCATGTCAAAGGGCCAAGCTACAGAACAAGTGGAGTGTGTGTATTTGTCTGCTATGGATCCCATAAAGCATGGCGTCCTGCTCCCGCCCCCGCCCGGCCCCACTGCGCAGTGTGTGAAAATCCCAGGTTAGGTCTGAGGGGATGTTTCTTGAGCATAAAGTCTAAGTATAATACTGAATTGCTGAAGAGTGTTGTAGAATCTCTTTCTCTAGATGCTTTAAAAATAGATGGCATTCATTACCACCAAGAAGGGTTGTGTTTTGGAGGCGGGGAAGGCTAGAGGAGCTTAAGAGTTAATCCCAGTCACCCTGTGCCAACAACCTGGTCTAACGCTGAGCAAGGGACGCCACCCTCGTTGCCTGACTGCACTTTGCGTTTTCAGTGCTCCCCGCTCCTATCCTCCCAGGACAACTTAATATCTATTTCTTTGCTTTCATCACAAGAGCAAACCTTTGACTTTTGCTTTGGAAAGTACTTGTTTGTAAATGTTTTCTTGTAATGGTTTAAGTGGGACAGATGGGAGAAACGTTTACATCTGTTTCCCCCTTGGTGCCAGTGTGTCCTTTGCGCTGCCACTCAGTGTGCTCCCTGGGTTGTTCACGATGAGCTGTGCTTTCCTGGTCTGCCTCATTTCGAGCAAGGAAACCCTTGTTGGCCAGCGACTTTAACGACTCATTGGTTATTGAACCTGGTGGAGGTTTCATTTTCTTTAAGATTTTATTTATTTATGCGTACAGAAATGGGGTATAAGCCAGAGGTGCAGGGGTGGTGAGAAGATTCCCCAGAGACAGAGTGGGGAGCAGAACAGGCAGATCGACTGAAGTGCACTGCTGAGGGGAGCAGTGAGAGAGACAGGAGAGGTCTGCTGTGCCATGTGGGTCACCTCCGGGGCGGGGATCGAACTTGCACTGAAGCAGCCACAGCTTGGCTTAGCTTCGCAGTGCAGGGCTCCAACCCGCTGGGCCACCAGGGAGGGCCTCGTTTTTAATAAGTATTAAGTACAACCTGGATACCTGGGCTGCATTCTCTCATGTCCCTGCTGACTGCAGAAAAGTCACTGTGTTATCCCCATCCTTTGTTTAATGGGGAAAATTGTAAGGAAAAGAGAAAACACATTTATTTCCCACTGTCAACATATTTTCATTTAGTTTTAAATGTGTCCAGCAGCAATTTTTTCCTCATCTACTTTCACTTTTGGCTCTACACGTACAGGCTGAGGTGCTCACTGTTTTGTAGACTGTTTTCTTCAGTTTGAATTTTTTTTTTTGCCATGGGTATTGTCCAAGTGAAGCTCAATCTGGACGGGTTCTCGCCCACAGGTAATCCAAGGGACCACAACTCTGTTGCCTCAGTGGGACAAATGTGTGAACTTTATCGAAAGCGCCCTCCCTTATGTTGCTGGAAAAATGTTTGTGGATGTGCACTTCCAGGAAGATAAGAAAGTGATGGTAAGTGGTGCTCCCCAGCTGGAAAACGTGATGGTGTCAAATCACAGCTGACTGTCAGCCTGCCTGTCAGCCTTCTTGTGCTGCGAGCTGTGGACCCAGATAATAGGGTTGCTTCAGAGAGGGATGCTTGTAGTGCCACAGGAATTAAACATGCAGTCTCAAATGCTCCCAGATGTAGAATGAAGTTGTGAAAATTAGGAGCGAGAAAACAAGCATGAGCGCATGCCATCAAGAACTGGAAGTTCTCCTGGGCAGGTTAAATGTACAAAGTCAGTGTTAGGAAAAACGGGCTAGATGGTTTTATGATTAGATACTTGAACCATTGTCGTTACAAAAGGCAGACATGTTCTGGTCAGGTCTCTGTTTCAGAGATGAGGATGCCAGCAACCCAGAGACGAAGTCATTTACAATATATTTGATGACTATTAAATGACTTTGAAATAGAAATAAAATGTAGAATTTCCTCTCTTGTACTGTTTTTTTGAAAATGGATGACATTTATTTCAGAGGAACACTGTTTTTTTTTAGAAAAATAAATGTAAAAAAAATCCTTTCTTTTTTTAAAATACTCTTTTTAATTAATTAATTAATTAATTATTCAGCTAGAACTGTGGTATTGTCCAGAGGTGCAGGGGTGCTGAGAGGATTCGCCAGAGATAGAGCAGGGAGCAGAACAGGCAGATTGATGAAGTACACTGCTGAGGAGCAGTGTGTGAGACAGGAGAGGTCTGCTGCACCTTGTGGGTCAGCTCCGGGGCTGGGGATTGAACTTGCACTAAAGTGTCTGCGGCTAGCTTGTAGTGCTGTATTTTAACCCGTTTTGCCACCAGGGAGAGCCAAAAAAATCCTTTCATTTTGGGCAATTTTAAACATACCAAAGTGGAAAGAGCAGTGTAATGACCTTTGTTACACTCATGAAATGATTCTTGGCCATTTGTAATTGCTGCAGTGACAAGAGTGGCCCAGCCAGGTACACCACTAAAGAAAGCTGAGGTTTAGTTTCATGCATGTAGTCAACAATTTTTTACTGAATGCCTTTTACAGGCCAGGTACTGTTCTAGGCCCTCAGAGGACAGAAAAGAGCAGAATAGACAAAGATCCCTGACCTTCTTGAGCTGGCATTCTCATGGGAGAAAGCAATGACAAATCCATGTAAGCATGCATTAACAAGTGTGTCGGGGGAAACAGGAAAATGACATCAGGGAAAGTAGAATCTGAGGTGCTGGAAGGGCTGGGGTGTGTGTGGTGCATTGTAGGATCACATAGGATGGTCACGGAAAGCCTCCCTATGAAGAGTTGGCAAAGATTTGAAGGTGGAGAAAGAACTAGATATGGCAGATATTTTGGGGACAGAGTGGTCTAGGCAGAAGGAACAGCTACTAGTGCAAAAGCCCCAGGGAGCAATGTACTTGATGTGCTACAGGAGTCACAGGGAAGTTGGAGCAGTAACAGATAGTGACCACGTGTAAGACTCTGTAGGTCACTCTGAGGACACTGATTTTTACCCTGAGTGAAGAGGAGAGCTAATGAAGGTTTTTTAGCAGAGGCATCATGTGATGTACTAGTGTTGACTGGATCATCTGGGCTGCTGTGTTGACAAGAGACTGTAGGGTGTCAAGGATAGACTTTGGGAGACCAGTTGGATTATTGGAGGGACCAGGCCAACGATGATAGTGGCTTGGACCAAGTGATAGCAATGGAAGTTGTGAGAGGGGGTTGGGTTCTGAGTACATTGTGAAGGGTAGAAGCAACATGATTTGATGACACGTTGGATGAAGGATCAGAGAGTAAGGGCCTTGAGGACCAGAGAGTAAGGGTCTTGAATCTAGGGAGATGGATATACAGAGTTGCCGTTAACTGTGAGGGGGAATTCTGGGGGTGGGGCTAGAACCAGATTTGGTAGAATGCTCAGGAGTTTAGTTTTGACTGCGTTGAATTTGAGATGTTATCAGACTTCCAAGTGGAGAAGTCAAGGAGTAGCTCAAAACAGTCTGGAGTTCAGAACAGAGGTCAGGGCTAAAGACAGACACTTGGAAATTATCAGTACCTAAGACAAGGTAAGATTTCTAAGGGGAGTGAATGTAGGGCAGAGAATGGGGCATTGAGGGCAAGGCATTGGATTGGCAAAAGGAGGAGGAACTAGCTGAGATGGAGCGGCAGTGACCAGTTTTAGGTGGTAGAAAACCGAGAGGACGTCCTAGAGCCAAGTGAAGGAAGTAAATCAAGAGGAGGAAGTACCCACCTATGTCAATTGCTGCTGAGTTCGATGAGGAATGAGAATTGATTATTGGATTTTGCAATGGATTATTGGGTTAGCTGGACCACTGGTTAGCAGCATGTTTTCATCGGTGAGAACTGTTTTGGCGAAGTTGTGGGAATGAAGGTTGGATTGGGGGGAGAAGGGTTTGAGGGTGAATGGAAGCTGAGTTCCTAGAAACAGTTAGCAAAGACACATTTAAAAAATAGGCTTTTCTGGAAAGTGGAGTAGTGGAAAGAGGTGGAGCTGCAGTCAAAGAAGGTTCTTCCCAAGATGGGAGACCTAGCATGTTTATATCCCGTGGAAGCAGGGGAAATTGGTGGTGTGGGAGAGGAGAGGAATTGCTGGAATAACATCCTAGGGGTGACAAAAGGGGGGGGCTGTCTAGTGCACATGTGAGGAACTGGCGTTAGAGAAAGTCTAGATGATTCCTTTAGGGCCACACGGTGCCGAGGCTGGCAGGTGGGTAGGTCGCCATGGCGGTGAAGTTGGTGGGCCTTCTCTTTGAATTCTTTCCTTGTCTCGGTGAACTGGGCAGAAAGGTCACCAAATGGGAGGGGAGGCTGAGCAGCGGGTGTTGACAGGTGCAGGAGAGAAGAGAAGAAGGCACACACTGGTTGGTTTCCAGACGGCGGGGGTGGGGGTGGGGGTGGTGAGTAGCGTGCGGGGACTCTTACGGCTGTAGTGTCAGGTGAGCGCTGGAAGAGACTCTCCTAGTAGGCAGCCTGTTCTGCATGCTTCAGCTGCACTGGAGGGGGGCATGTTGTGATTTAGCCATTTGGATTGAGCCTGGTTCCTTTGGCTTGCATTTTCCTTTGCGATGTATTATATTTTACAAAGGGCGTGAAGCAACATATCTAGGCATGACCGTTGAATAATATTCCATTGTCGTGGATCAGACACAAGTCCGAGAGCAGCACGGATGAGGGGTGGTGGTGGTGACCATAAACACTGAATTTAAAGGCAAAGACATAACAAAATTCTGTTCACTGATGAACAGTCACGCGGGTGGTTTCCTGGGCTGCTGCATCACACTCAGCACTGCCTGGCATCATGCACCATGTGCTGAAGTTTGTTCTGGGATGTCATAGGTCTCAGTACACAGTGCCTGTAGTCATTTATTTTGGCGGTTTCTTGATATGTTGGAGAATTTTCTGCCAAGCCTAAGACTTTATATTTGAAAGTTGTCTTCTTGCGAGTAATTCCACTGAAGAATTAATGCCTTGTTTCCAATATTCAGTATTCCCAATGTGTATTTTCTTTCACTCTGCGGTCAGAGTAGATGGAGTAAGAATTTATCAGATATTCCCAGTGGTGATATTATAAGCTCTGGGAAGGACACTGAGGGATGATGGAGGTGTTTTTATTTTTTTTATAGCAGGGGATTTTTTTGGGGGGCAGTAGAATTTTAAATAATATGAAAGGTATGTGGATTAATTTGTTTTTCTCAGTTTTGGTGTGAAAATCTCTTTTTCATCTGTCAGGGTGTGACATTCTGAAATGAAGTTGACTTGGGCAGTTTCCCCTTTTGTTTGATATATGTGGAGGTGGAAGTAGTTTGATAGTCTCACAGACTCTCATGTATTTTACATAAAGTTATTTGCCTCCCCAGTGTTGAAGCTATTTACCTCAGGGAATACTTAAGCTGGAAACTTTTAAGAGAAATGTCTGGTTTTTCATAGCTTTGTTACAGGGCTCCCATCCAAGAACCACCTGGAACCACTGATTTACTTGAAAAACATCCCATATTATTAAGCTATAGTCCAAAGGAAAAGGAAAACAGAAAATCCCCAAGGAGACAAATTCCAGAGACTGAGAGGAAAGGCTGCCATTTTGTTTATGAAAAAAGTTGTTAAACAAATGAATACAGCCAGAAGGTTAAACTTCAGGTACTCCTCAATCTGCAGTGTGTACAGGTGGGCCTTGTCAGAATGCAGAATTTCGTTGCAAGGCCTTGACTTTGCTCATCTGTTTGTAACCACATCCCCCCAGTCCCACCCCCACCCCACCAGACCCAACCTTGGTGATTCCTGTGGGCAGGGCAGGCCTCAGGCTCAAAGCACTTCCCTGACTAAAACCTGTTGCATTTGTGCAGGTAATCACTTCAGGGATTCTGAGTGGTCTAAATGGACTGGGCTAAACCCTAAACCTCTCTCGCAGCCAAGAGAGGGAGGAAGGGAGGTGTTCCCCTGAAATATTTAGTTTTCCTTTGGAAACAGTACCTAGGTTCTTCCAAGGGACCTGCTTTCCTCAGCATCTGTTTCTGTAGCCTCCTAATGGGGCGTGGGGTGGGGAGACCCAGCTGCTTCTGGTTGGCATCCTGAGTTCAGAGACTGACTGAGACAGCAGTGCCGCGAAGGTTTTCTTTGCAGAGGAGAAAGCACCACCTCCCCACACCTGCTCGCGTAGAGGCTTCCTTTTCACCAGGAAACCACTCAGCTCCTTATGCCTCCTCTGTGCAAGTGTGTGCAGGACACAGGTCCACACAGACACACTCATACTCCTTGCACGCAACTATGTGCTTACAAATGTCCTTAGAGATGGAAAGAATGCGTGGGAAAAGGAGAGCTCTTCACTTGAAAGCCACCTAAAGGGGATCATATGGAACATTCTCCTGCCTTTCACGTAGTGAGCCAGGGCCTTCATCCCCTGTGGGACTGCCCGCGCCTTACTCTAGAGACCTGCAGAAGTAGGTGGGCAGCGGGTGCCCTCGGCACCGAAAGTAGCACTAGCCGGTAGAATG